TAGGCGGATTGAGGGAAAAGATAGTTCACTATATTGAAAAGGAGCATTCAAAGATAAATATGCAAATTCCTTTTAGAACAGACATAAAGGGGGAAATAAATCTTATCCACGATAGGCCAATATACGGGAAGCAGTATCCGTATGCTCTATCTGTCAACGACTTCGTGAAAAGAGAAATCAAAAGAATGTTATCAGAAAAAATAATAAGGCCTAGCAGAAGCCCTTACAATTCACCACTTCTGGTAGTCCCAAAGAAAGGAGAGAATCAAGACGGAAGCCGTAAATTAAGACTCGTCATTGATTATAAAAAATTAAATGAAAGTACTATACCTGAAGGTACCCAATGCAAGACCCATCAGTAATTCTATCAAATTTGGGAAAAGTAAGATATTTTTCAACAATAGATTTAGAGTCAGGATTTCATCAGTTACTAATGAAAGAATCTGATGTCGAAAAAACAGCCTTTTCAATAAATAATGGAAAATACGAATTTTTAAGAATGCCATTCCGATTAACAAATGCAGCAAGAATCTTTCAGAGAGCAATGGACGATATTCTAAGAGAACAAATAGCGAAAACATGTCATGTCTATATGGACGACATTATAATATTCTCAAAAAAATCTCAAAAAGAATGTCAACAAAATGTTAAATCAGCTGGATGAACCAGCAATTAATGGTTTTAACAAGCTGAAAGAAAATCTCATTGCTCAAGTAGAACTAGTTAAACCGGACTATAATAAAAAATTTACCCTGACCACCGATGCTTCAGACGTCGCAATTGGTGCAGTTTTATCTCAAGAATGAAAACCAATTACTTTTATTTCAAAAACCTTGTCTAAAACAGAACAAGCTTATGCGACTAATAAGAAGGAACTTTTAGAGATAGTATGGGCTCTTAAAAATCTAAAAATCTTTCTACAAGACGTGGAAAACGAGGAAGATAAAGCTATAATAATAGAAGAAACGCACAGCCGTGCTCATAGGGGGCTAGAAGAGAATTACAAACAGATCAGTAAATTATATTATTGGCCAAACTGTTTTAAAAAATTAAAAGAATATATTAAAAATTGCGTGATTTGTAACGAAAATAAATATAACAGGCACCCAATAAAAATTCCAATTGGGGAAACCCCAATTCCAAGTAAAGAAGGAGAAAATTTACACATTGATATATATTACGCGCAAGGTCTTACTTTCATAACTTGTATTGACGCTTACTCAAAATTTCTAGTAGTAAAAGAAATCCAAAATAAATTAAATATCGAAAATAAAGTAATGGTCCTTCTTCCAACATTTTCCACAAGCAAAAGTAATAATGACCGATAATGAACCGAGCTTTACCTCGGCCCAATTTAAATCTTTCGCACAAAGGTGCAATTTAACTTTACATTACGCAGACCCGAGGCACAGCACGTAAAACGGACAGGTTGAAAGGGCACATTCTACATTAACAGAATTAGCTCGATGCATTAAAGATTAATTTAATTTAACTGACTTTTCCGAAATAGTAATAAGAGCCGCTCAAGAATATAATCAGAGCATTCATTCTACAACGAACCAAAAACCTTTTAACGCATTATATAATAAAATAGAGCACGATAACATTCCTGAACTTTTGAAAAATACTCAAGAGAAAATGTTGGAAACACATAATGAAAACAGAAAAGAAAAAAAATATCATGTAGGACAGGTAGTCTATGAAAAGAAACACGGGGAAAGAAATAAACTTAAACCCAGATATAAAAAACAAATAGTTAAGGAAAATTTACCCAACAAAATAATAATCAACAATAGAAATAGAATTATTCACAAAGATAATATAAAATTCTAAGTATTTATATATTATCCTTTTTTTCTTTCCTTTCCCAGAAAATGTTTTATCAGGTGCTCATACTACACCTTATTTTATTAACAAAATCAGAAATAATTGACTATACAAGTCACGAATATCTTCTATTTAAGGACAATAAAGACGTATTGACGTACGATTCATACGCAGATTTATTCCATGTAACTAACTTAAGGGGTCACGCCACCCTGAAATTTTCAAAAAATCGATTTTTTTTTTTTTACTTAATTTAAAAGACGTCTTAAAATACGCGTAAGAATATAGTTACGCGTATTTTAAGACGTCCCCCCGATATCTTGATAATTATGGAAGTTATGTTTATTTCAAGGCGGCACTGCAGGAGGGCACCTAAGACACTTCTTTTTCTTCTTTTGCGTTTTTCTCGAAACCACTTTTTTCAAGACGGTGGGCATGATAACTCAAAAACTGTTCAACCGATTGACTTGAAAATTGAAACACATCTTCTTACATAGATTTTCCACAGAGTGACGTAGGATTTTTTTGATCCAATGGATAGAAATTTTTTTATGCAATTTTTAGTACGAAATTTTTTGCCCAAAACATTGAGTCAAGTTTTGAAGTGCTCTCATTTGCGTAATTTTTCTTCTTTTCTAAAACGGCTACGTCACTCTGTTCCAAATTTATCACTTTTTAAAAAAAATTTTGTTTACTTTTTTCTGATGAAAATTGACACGTGAATCATGCCCACCATCAAGGAGCACTCCGGAAAAACCTATGATCGCCGATGTTCATATCTCCGCCATTTTGAATTGAAAAAAAATTTTTTTTTAGAATTTATAAAGCTCATTAGTTGTATTAAATAGAAATAAAAGTGGAAAAATCCTATCTCAACTAGTTTAGTCACAAGAAATTCCTGAAAAACCGTCCCGTTTCCACGCGGTCAGGGTGGCGTAACCCCTTAAGCTTTTATAAAGAAATAATAAATTTGGAATCAGATAATATTAAAAGGGATACTAATAAAAGGTCACAATGGGAAATTAAATATGACATAAAAGTAATTGAACTAATTTTATCGCAATTAATATCAACTAGATCAAAAAGAGGGATAAATGAGTTAGGCACCGTGTGGAAATGGTTAGCTGGAACTCCGGACCATGATGATTTTATTACAGTTCAGAATAAAATTAATGAATTAATTGAAAACAATAATAAGTAGTCTATTATCAATTCCGATGATTTTAAAAAAGTATTTATTGATCAAGATCTACCACTTCGAAAACATCGCTTGCGATTATTAACATTTGATCTGCAAAATTTAATTGACACAATCACTCTAGCAAAAATAGACGTTTTTAATACCAAAATTTTAAACATGATGACATCTTGGAAATGATGACATCTTGGAAATATTAAAACATGAACAAAAACCAGTAATTATAGCTGATTTAATGGACATCTCTTCTTTTAAAATCGCATTGCATAAAGAACTTTTAATAATTTATATAAAATACCCAATAATTAAAAACAGATGTGAAATATATCACGCTAGAGCGATTTCCCAAATCGATGGAAAACTAGTATTAAGCAATCAAGTCGCAAAATGCGAAAATATTTTTCACGAAATGTCTAATTTTAAGAACGAACTTTTTAATAATTATTGCACTCTAAGTAACAAAAAAACTTGTTTTACCTGATTATTAAATGGTGAGAAATCAACCTGTAAAAAAATAAGAGAAAAAAATAAAAAAATAGACATCATACAAGATGGTGCCATTCTTATAAATGGGAACAATATTGTTAACAACTCCTGTTGAGGTCGGGGCGAGGTTGGTGCACGATTCTTTAAGCAAACATCGATTTGGTTGTTCTTTCCTTTATTTAAATCAAATCAAATGCTGGGCGCGCTAAAAAACTTCGTCGTTTTCCCTCGCCTCGTTAGCTTCACCGTTAGCTTAGCGATCGCAAACGCCTCGTTCTTCCGCCATTTTTCTGTATATCGATAAGCTTACGTCTAGCGTTTTTCAGAACTTATTCTAAACATTATTCAACACTAATATTAACGATTTCATTTTTCAAATATAAACTTAATTCTATGACGGCGGTAACATTCCCTCCCCCGTAATTGATCCCGATCCGTGGTCAGTTACCATTCTCCAAGCCGACGTCCAGAACTGCTACCTTTGTTGCTGGTCTTTCTATAGCACCATGCTGCGTCTTGATTGTCACCCGCCGAACTTGTCCATCGTTGGCCATCACTGCGTCAGTCACGCGTCCTTTTAGCCACAGGTTCCTGGGAAGAAGCTCATCCACGACTACGACGATGCTTCCGATGGTGATTGGAGGTACCTTCTCGAACCATTTGGTGCGCCTGGTTAATACGGGTGCATACTCCTTAACCCATCGTTGCCAAAAGCGGTCTCCGAAGCGCTGAGTCTCGTTCCATCTACGCTTCAGATTCATTCCCTCTTTCGGCAGCGGCTTGTATCCGTTCGCTGATCCTAGCAGCAGGTGGTTTGGAGTTAGGGCGGCGTCATCCTCTGAATCCAAACTTACAAACGTGAGAGGTCGCGAGTTGATGATAAATTGCGCCTCCATCAGTGAGTTTCTCAACCCCTCGTCGTTGAAAGAGTAACTTGGGCAAATGTTCTTCAAGATTCCTTTCGTTGTCCTGACGAGTCTCTCCCATGCTCCACCCATGTGCGGTGCTCCTGGTGGGTTGAATCGCCACTTTATGCCGTCGAACTTAATAGTGATCTTATCGTGCTCGATCTTTTTCAGCTCCTCGCGCACGGCTTTTTCCGTGGCTCTGAAATTCGTACCGTTGTCTGAGAATATTTCCCTCGGTGTCCCTCGAAGGGCCATAAAATTGGCTAGGCACATGATACATGAACTAGTATCTAGACTGTAGGCGATCTCAAAATGCACCGCGCGCAACGTAAGACAGGTGAACAGAGCTACCCATCTCTTCTCTTTGCGCCGGCCGACGTTCATCAATAAAGGGCCAAAATAGTCAACGCCTGTATAGGTGAACGGCCACTCGAAGCTTCCAACTCTTGCCCTCGGGATCGGTGCCATCTGGGGTGGTCTGGGAACTGCTCTGTCGATCTTGCATCGTTGGCATGTGTTTCGCACAGATTTGTGCAGTACTCGTAGCCGGCTGATATAAAACGAATTTTTGATGTCGTTTATTACAGTTTCGTGAGCGAGATGGTGATACTTTCGTGGAAGCTCCTAACTATGAGGTTGGTTATCCGGCATCCATGAGCTAGTATAATGGCGTCCTCAGCTATGTCAACTGCGTTCAATCTGCCTCTTGTTCGTAGTACTCCATCGTTGTCCAGGTACGCGTTCAATCCGGCCAATCTGCTTCCCTTGAGGAGCGCCGTTCCCGCGGATAACATTTTTAGTTCTGCTGCGAAGGCGATGGATTGAGATTGCTTGTATAGCAGCATCTTTGCCTTGCCTACATGAGCCATTGTCGTGGTTGCTGGCATGTCTCGTCCGTCACATTTCGCTCGCAGCCGATCAATGAACAGGAGTACTAGCGCCACTGCTCTGTATAACCGCCGCCAATTTAAGAAATCGTGCGCGTTGAACATAACCACTGATTTCGAATGCGTCGTCATCACATGCTTCCGGATCTCCGAGGTATCGTTGATGCTCTCCTGCTTCTTGGATATTGGCCAGTGGCTCGCATCGGTCTTCAGAAACTCCGGGCCCGTTATCCACGTCTCTTGTTGGGTTTTCCCGGTGACCTTGGTAGCTCCATCTGCTACGTTCAGCTTTGAAGGAATCCACCGCCATTGCTCGACCAGTGTTGTTTCCAGAATTTCGGCGACTCTGTGCATCACGAACTGATGAAAGTTGCGGGGGTCCATAGTTAGCCACTGCAACACTGTCTTGGAGTCCGACCAGTATGTGGCGTTGTCAATTCGTAGGTTGCGTGTGCTCATCACCTTTTGGGCTAAGCGTGCTCCCATAACTGCTGCCTGCAGCTCCATACCCGGAATCGAAAGTGGTTTTAAAGGTGCCACCTTAGATTTCGCCATTACCAAAGATACGACGACTCTGTCATCCGTTGCCACGCGCAAGTAGCAGACTGCAGAATATGCTTGCTCGCTGGCGTCGACGAATGTATGGAGTCCAATTTGACATGGCTCCGATGTGGCTGGGGAAAAGCATCTAGGGACCTCGAAAGTCCTTATGTCTTGCAAAATGGTTTTCCATTGGTGCCATTCTTCTAGAATCTTCTCAGGTAGCTCTTGATCCCATTCAATTTTTTGCCGCCATATACACTGGAGGAGTATCTTTAGTCCGATCGTTTGGCATGATAAAAATCCCAATGGATCGAAGATCGACATCAAAACTTGTAATACTTCCCGCTTGGTAGGGACTACGTTTTCCGCCAGCACATCACGCTTCAGCCTTGCAAATCTGCAGATAAATTTGAACATATCATTATGTGGGTCCCAGAACATGCCAAGTATCTTTTCTGTTGCCCAAAAATCCACCGGCTTTTGGGTTTCAACGTTGCCATTATCCTGCAAGCTTTCGAGCACTTCTTCCGAATTCGACGACCAGTTACGGATCTCGAATCCGCCTCTGCGATGTACTTCTATAACTTCTCTGGTGATCTGGATGGCCTCCTGTTCGTTCCTCATGCTATCGATGAAGTCGTCAACGTAGTGCGCCCTTTGGATGGCGTTTAAGGCTAATGGGAACTCTTCTTAGTGGGTTTCCGCGTTCTTATCTCGAACGAAGTGCGCTATAAACGGCGCGCAGCTAATCCCAAAAGTCATAGCTCGCATGACATAGGTGTCTACTTTGTCGCTGCCTTGTCATACCACAGAAATCGCTGTGCCTGCATATCCTCGCGAATGTTGATCCTGTGAAACATTTCCGCAATGTCACCACAAATCGCTATTTTGTTGACCCGAAAGGCTAGCAAGACGTCTATGAGTGGGTTCAGGCAATCTGGTCCCCTGAGTAAGTAGTCATTTAGCGCGTATCCGTGTGCCTTTGCGGTTGCATCCCATACGAGCCTTATCTTTTTCGGCTTGTTTGGATTCAGCGCTATGAATATTGGCCGATACCATGTACGGCTGTTCTCCCGGCTGGTTTCTTCCTCGGATAGCTTAACCGCGTATCCTTTGTCTAGGAGGTTCCTGATTTGGGCGTTGATCTTTTCATAAAGATCTGGTTCTTGAGACACCTTTTTCCTCATGCAGGTAAGCCGCTTCAGAGCGTTACTCCGGCTCTCAGGGAGTTTGTCGATACCACCGCGCCACGGAAGTCCAACTTCATATTTTCCGGACTTATTTTGGCAGGTGCTTTCCAGTATCTTCACTGCCAGCTCATCTTCAGCTGAGTGCAGCTTTCGTGGTACGAGTGCGTCCAGGTTGAAATGTTCCTTGATGTCATCATGGAGTTCTTGCCAGTCGCAGTCGCAGTGGTGCATGAAAATGGATCGTTGTGGGTTCGCCGATCCTTGGATGCTCCATCCTAGCATGCACTTCGATGCTATCGGCTCGTTCCATTTTCCTTCGCGGATCTTGCGAGGGACATCTAGCTTCCAGTTGTTGGTTCCGATTAGCAAAGTCGGCTGGGCAGAGTAGGACCGTAGCGGCAAGTCTTTCAAATGCTGGAATCTGTCGCATAGCTCCTTCAAGTTGACTGTCTGTCTCGGTAGTGCTAGGTTCTGAACGGTCTGGACGTTGTTCAACCAGTAAACCTTATCGCAGTTCATTTCCGGGATTTGGACGGATGCCTTTACGGATCCACTCTCAAGTCGAGTCGTCTCTGCGGTCCACTGCAAACACATTGGCGCTGCCTGGCCTTGTACTCCCAGTCTTTGGAATACGGATGCATCTGCTAAGGTCACGGATGATCCTTCATCTAGAAAGGCGTAGATCTCAGTCTGCCTGCTGCCGTAATGCAGCTTGACTGGAATGATGCGAAAGAACTGACTTCCGTGGTTGTCGTCTCTGTGCGTACTAACGTGACTCTGTGGTCTGTCTTGGCCGATTATGTTGGGAACATATTCTGTATGAAGTAACTCATGGTGTCTCCTTGTACAGCCATTAATTCCACATTTCCCGGTTCGGCATCTGTTCCGGTGTACCTTGAGGCAGCAGAAACAGGCTTTACCCGCTCTGATTACCTGCCACCTGTGCTCCGCGTCAAGGTTCGAGAATACCTCACATTGTGCTGGGTTGTGACTCGGGTCGCCGCAAGCTACGCACCTCTGTTGAACTTGCTGCTGAGCTGCTTCCGTATGGATCGCGTTCGATCGTGTTTGTCCTCGTGCTGATCCAGGCTCATCTGTCACTCCCTTGTCCGGGCGGCGACTGTTGTGGGAGTTAACTGCGCCCGTTTTGTAAAACGATGGCGCCACCACTAATGACGCTGCCTCTGCGATTTTATACAGCCAATCACTGAATGTCTTGACTGCGGCCACTCTATCGTCGCGGGGTTGCATTGCCCAGTTTAGCTTGTGTTGGTTGGGAAGCTTATCTACCAGCTCCTTGACCAGCATTGGATTGTTGAGATGCGCCTTCAGATCGCACGCCTCCATAGTAGCACAGACGTTTCGCACTGCCAGCGCGTACTCTATTAACGCCTCCAATCTGTCTTTGGGTGGTGCCACTCTTCGCACCTTTTCCACCACTCTTTCGAGGATGTGCTCTGGTCTGCCGAAGAACACCTTCAAAGTACTGATGACTTCTGGGACTAGGTTAGGAAGTAGGAGTTTATCTCTAACCAAGTCACGAGCTTTCCCTTTAAGCGACTTTTGCAGACGTAGCATATTTTCCACATTCGTATATCCCGCTGCTGTCGTACTGTGTTCAAATGTGCTGATAAATAACGGCCAGTCCTCAGGGTCCCCGCTAAATGTTGGAAGGTCCTTGGGTATAGCTTGCCGGGCCGCTATTTGAGTACTTGTAGGTGAATCTGTGGCTCGAAACATCCCAGCTACCGTTACGTCAGCGGGGTTCATCTGCATGAGAATTTTGTATTTTTCTTCTATGAACTTTGCCTCAGACTTTCTTTTCTCCTCGAGCATATCTAACAAGAGTTGGTTCTTGTTCGTGTCCGGATTGCCTTCCCGAACATTCATGTTCTCTCCGTTGCCGGCAGCATCGATTAGCGTATTAGCGACGGCTAGCGCTTTGCTGTGCGGTTCTGGGGTATCCATTGCGTCTTCACGTGTTTGAGACTGTACTGGTGATCTTTGCATACCGCTGAACGGTGCTATGTGGCTGCAACCCGCAAGACAGTAATCGCAACTCCAATCCTTGCTCTCAATGTCGTCCTCTACGCCGGCACACTCGAAATGGTACCACCTTCCGCAAACGTCGCACTGTACCCAATTTTCTGACGCTGTTTCGTTTTTGTTCTCGCAAATTCTGCACACTTCAACGTTCATGCTTCGCGTCGTCCGGCGTGCTTGCAATATGGCGTCTGCATTTCTTCTTCTTGGCTGCGTGCTTACTCGACCTAGCCTGTGGCTGCTAGGGACGCGACGCCTTACCTTTCGTTACTTCCAAAATTTGTCGCCTCCTGTCGGTCTAGCTGTTGTCTGCTAGCGACGCGACGCTGTTTTTTCTGCCTAAATCCGCAGGTAACGTAGTTTGGAGGAAGTTTTTTAGAAATGTTGAGGTCGGGGCGAGGTTGGTGCACGATTCTTTAAGCAAACATCGATTTGGTTGTTCTTTCCTTTATTTAAATCAAATCAAATGCTGGGCGCGCTAAAAAACTTCGTCGTTTTCCCTCGCCTCGTTAGCTTCACCGTTAGCTTAGCGATCGCAAACGCCTCGTTCTTCCGCCATTTTTCTGTATATCGATAAGCTTACGTCTAGCGTTTTTCAGAACTTATTCTAAACATTATTCAACACTAATATTAACGATTTCATTTTTCAAATATAAACTTAATTCTATGACGCCGGTAACAACTCCCATTTAAACGGTTTGTTTTTAATAACATTTAATGGTCCAACTAAAATTAATAATATCTCATATACCAATTTGGAAAATAAAATTCTTGAATACGTAACTACGAACCACTTCAAAAATTATGAAATATCCGATTACATATTATCAAATAACTCTGATCTTTCTTTAGATAATATAAACATTTTAAACCCATTGCATCAGATTTAGAATTAAGAAGTCAGTCCTATTTTAACCGAGACCGCGAACGGTTGACAAAAGTATTTAAGAGAAATCAAAAGTGTCTTGTAATTGTTACGTTTAATAAATAAAGGTTTAACACCAAGTTGTGTAATTAAAAAATAAAATTTACATTTTTTTAATTCACCGAACTACAAACAATTTAACTTGTATACGTGATATATACATTAGAGGTCTGCATGATTTCACTCAAAATTTTCGGTTATTTGAGTACAATAAGTTTAAGTCGCAATTGAGCGTGCCAAACCGTTTCAACAAAGTGAATTGCGGATTGGTAAGGGTTTCGTTGTATGCGAAATGAGTGAAATTCAAACCAATGTGGAATGGATAGAATGAGTGAATGCAGAGTAAATGCTTCGAGTACTCGGATAAAATTTTGACATTCTCGTCATTCATTGCAGTTAGAGCAGAAGCTAAAACTAGTTGCACAATTTTTTGTATACCTGCAAGCAGCTCGGCAAGCAGGTAGCAAGCAGCTACCTGCAAAGAGCCTTTTCAGATGCTAGAAATTTAATTTCTGAAAAGCGATGTATTATTGCTAACAATGCAGATACAATAAAAAAATTATGTTTTTGCATTCTGTTATGAAAAATTAAAGGATTAAATTAATTAAATTAAAGGACATACATACATATGTATATAAAATAATTAATCCATGCCTTTCTATTTTTCTATTTCTTGTATTGAAAAGCAACACAAAAACAAAAAATAAATTTGACGTCACAAATGCGACGCACAACTAACCGAGTACTCGGTTACAAAACTCATTTGGTTATTGCGTCGCCGTTCGGATAGAGTAAATTTTTAACTCATGCCTTTTTAACATTTTTGCCAAATCCGTTTTACTCAATGTCTCACTCAGTCAGTCAGAACTTTGAGTGAGAGTGCCAAATGCTGCTTTGATTGTATTCATGCAGACCTCTAATATACATGATACGTGAAAAAGAACCTCCCCCATCCGTCGAGCTAAGTCTATGACCACAAGAAGTGCACGCCCTTCACTCCCAGCCATACGTCCCTAAGGTATATCCTCTGGACCAGGTCCGTATAATAAATCCTGGTTAGGAACTGCAAGACGCTGGAGGAATTTAAGCTCTTGACCAACCGGATGTACATTTTATCGGAAGTTATACGAGTCAGTAATTTAATAGTGTATCCCCAAATAGAATCAGAGAAAGAGAGATTTTATTTGATCAGTTTTTTTGTTCCAGCACATTTCGGATTCCGAAGAGCTATATAGGTGTTTTGGTGGCGGATTTAATTTGTTTTTTTTATTTTTGATTTTGATTCATTTTTGGATTTTTGATTTAATTTTTGTTTATTTTTGATATATTTATGATTATATTTCCAATTCTATATTTTTTTTCTTTAAATTTGATCATTTGTGTATCGGAGAGATAATTAAGTATTTCACCATGGCAGTGAGACATAGTTTGGAGAATCCAGCTGAAAGCGTAGGAGAGCAGGATAC